AATATGGCAACTTCTGAAAAAATGAACGAGAAAGAACTAAGAATATGGGAATGAAGGAACTAGTTTAGAAATAGAATTGGGTTCAAATAAAGAAACTAGATAAACGGAATATATATGAACTATAGACCTAGTTCCAATGAATGGTCGTGCAATTGAGGTGTATCCAGGAGTACTTATCAAAAAATCGTAATCATTGTTTTTCCGTGCCCATCATGAGTAGTGTTGGGAGAAATCTTTTGGATACATAGGCCTTTGAAAATGCAAATCAATGTTTAAATTTGATGAAACGATTGAAGCTAGGCACATACGTGAGTGATAGGACTAGGTTTTTGAAAACTCGTACTTTAAGGATGAGAAAAGTACAAAAATGACTACTTCCAATAATCAACGCTCAGAAAAAACGGCAGAAGCTAAAAACTCGAAACTTTGTATGTGGTTAGTCACAAGTTCGAGTGAGTGTGATAAGGTTTATTTGTGCAAAATCGTACTAAAAGTGTACGAAATGAACTAAAATTGTGTCATTGATATTGAGGGAACAGATAGGTCTAGAACTATGAAATTTAGACTGGGGTTTCATAATGGAGTGTGGAGATCGTACTAAAAATGTACTAAATTGTATAATACCAATTATTATCGACATTGGGTGAACGAATAAACCTAGAATCTGGCAATTTTGTATACAGAATACTGTTTGTTTTTAAAGTTGTACGGAAATTACATTTAGTACAGTATGGAGGTAGATTCTTGAGATGTAATTGGAATCTTTAAAATTGGTATGGAGATTGGTGTACAGGATTGAGGTTAGCTGTTGCATTTATAAATTAGTTCTGTAAGTGAAAAAATAGTTGTAAATGATGAAACAATATCCGAAAAATTAACTTTGGAAAGAAGGTCGGTATAATTGTGCAGAGATATTATAAGGAATAGGTTGTGCAAATATTACACATTTTTTGCACGAAATTGTAAATTGTACTACATTTGGAACAAATGATATTTATTGCGTAAATTGTTATAGTACTGAAATAAGTACATTTTGAATACAAATGTAGAATCCTGAACATGTGGTGAACGTTGCAATTAAAGAATCTTGAACTTTTGGTATACGATACAGTATTGCCGGGTATACATGAATTAGAAATGCAATTTTGGAAAATTGTACTAAAGTACTAAATTATTATTTGGGGACATTAATGAAGCAAAAATTCTGAAAATTGGTATGTGGTCATTATTGTTGGTGTGTAAGGTTGTAGTAGGAGATGGTTGTGAAAAAACACTGAATTGTGCTAAGAACTAAGAGATTTAAATTTAGAAAAATATGCAGTGTGAAGACAGTGGATCGCTTTTATTGTATAGAGTTGAAATAAGGTGTTTGTCGAGGTTGGTGTACTATTATTTGATTTTAATTGTTGACAACTAAAATCGTTAAATTTTATATAAGGTAAAAAGAGCTGCATTTTGAAAGTGTGTGCAACAATTTATAAATATTACAAACTTAATACATTTAGTAGTAGGTGAATGAATTGAACATTATCTTCGTAGGAGAACCGCTATTGAGTAGGTATTAGACTACATAATAATTTGGATCGCTTTAAATGTGGAGCGCTGAAATTCGGTATGGGGATCCCTATCCCTGGTATGCTTTTAAAATATACCTTTTTCTATAAACATACAATTGGTTTATTTTTGAGACTTTGACTTTGTGATCCCGCTTGGATCCGTTGTCTGTTTTTCCTTTGACTATGTTTCTGTCAAATATTTGATTACTACACTTCTAAAAAGAACAAACTAAGACAAACACGGACACTTGCTAGTTATTTATATGCACTTACCTTAAAAACACTATTCGGAGAGATTGGAATGTCATCAAAAGACGCAATGTAGTCTGATTTCTTGTGATATACATCAGCAGTTGTTGCATCAATTTCCTTTCCTTAAAATCGAAACATCCGTCTTGCATATGCGGCGTATAAGGGAGTACTAATCAAAAAACGTAATCATTGATTTTTTGGTCCACCATTAGCAATGTTGGGGGATATATTTTGCATACACAATTACAAAAGCCTACGAAGATACAAACATAATGTTTTAATTTGATGCACTCTGCTGTATAGTGTAGTATTCATTTATTCTTACCAAAAGTTCGCCAGAAATATAAAAATTAGCTACACGATCCATACCAGATAATATCCAATCGACATGGTTGAATGGAAAACATGGACTGACGAAAGAAATGAGAAAAACTATTATTGCGTTTTTTTAGAATTGAACAATCTTGTACAGAGCCCAGAACGATCTTTCTCTTTCTTTTTTAGAAAGGCACTAGTCGTTCGCGCCATATTGTTTCGACTCTTGATAGCGTATGTTTATTTAACAGTGTGGCAACTTCCGAAAAATGAACCAGAAAGAACGAAGAATGTGGGAATAATGGAACGAGTTTAGAAAAAGGAACGCGATCAAATAAAGAAACTAGATAAACTAATGGAATATATTTTTAAGTGAGTTATTTATACTCTAGAGCTTAATGATCTACTCGACTCGAAAGAGTATAAAAAACTCACTTAAAAATATATTCCATTAGTTTATCTAGTTTCTTTATTTGATCGCGTTCCTTTTTCTAAACTCGTTCCATTATTCCCACATTCTTCGTTCTGTAGTTTTTATTAATACATTATTTATATGAACTTACCTTAAAAAACGCTATACGGTTAGAATTTCATCAGATGTTGCCATTCAGACAATGCAGTGCTGGTGTCTTGGAATATACATCAGCAGTTGTTGCACCAATTTCCTTAATATCGAAACGTTATGTTTAAATTTGATGCACTTATATTTTTTGATTTTTTAGGTTTGATTGAAAGAATAAAATGTATAATTTCATTTAATTCGGGTGTAAATTAATACGTATGATTGTATGACGAATTAATCTAATACGACATTGCCGAACATAGTTATGAACTACTTAATAATGGAGTATTCCCGTACTCAAAAAGTGGTAAAGGGGAAATCGAAAACAATTTCGATTAGTAGAAGACTCTTGTTGGTTTTGGAACAGAGATTAAATCGGCATGTACATAGCGCTTAGTCAAATTATACCAATTGCCATAAAGAAGAGGTCTTGGCTACATGGATTTTGGTTTCAGAATTTATAGCATGTTGATGAATTTGTATATGTATGTAGGTATACCTATACGGCATGCTTAAGATATAAAAGTAAATTCATTGGAACAATGTGTTTGATCTATTGCCGTCTGATGGATAGATTTAGAACCATTCTTCGGGATGTGGCAACATTAAGTTTAAGTAGGGATACATTTCATAACCGGTACGAACAAATTCGGTTTTCCACACTAAAATTCATATTGCAAAAACTGCAAAGGCAAATATGTGTGATTATTTACCTTTGCTGACTGGCCATAGTAAAGGGATTAAGTAAATAATGTTCGTATTGGATGTGGAATTTCCGCTCTTCAACTTGCTACCTACCTGCATTATGGTGTAACAGATGTTACATTTGCAAATTTCAAGACTAATCCACATACAATGCTTGTGTTCAAGGAAGAGCAGGTATTTCGTTCAAATGCAAAGGAAAATGGTAGATCCACACATAAATGTATATTTGTAGGAATACCGTGTGAAAAACGCTACAACAACTGGTTTGCCAAGGCGAACTCTAAACGTTTTCGTTGTTGGGGATTGTTTTCAGAAACGTCTTTTAATTAATGAATCCACCCTATAGCAACGAAGAATTCCGAAATATGAGTCTGTGCGTATGTCTCTTCTTTCTTTGCAACGGAGACACCTTGCAACAGCTGCATTCACATCCCTGCACATGTAAGGGATATGTGTTTACAACGTTGTTTTATTTTTACCTGCAACGACAAGTAGCAGCTGAGAAGTGTATTCTCTTTTCGACAGGACGAAGGAATTTACGGCACAACTGTACTAATACACTCAAATTAGAGTTGGTTTTCTTTAAAATCCAAACACATTCACACAGAATTACAGATGTTCAGTGAAATATCCTTGCAATCGGCGAGTTCCTGCTCTGCTTAGTTTTTATAGAGACCTACGAATAAATCATTGTACAGATTAATACAGTCGATGTATGGCTGGAATGGTTGGGAAAAACAAGTTCAATACATAATACTAACCCTGAGATATATACATGTCGCTTGATGGCATATTACTTGGATGTATCTCAAATAAATGACACTTTGATATATGAATGTATCTTAAAGATCAGATACAATTGTATTGTTTTTTTTTTTTTTTTAATGACGCATCAAACGCGTGTGCTGGGCATTTGATAAAGCAACGTTAAAAATTTTGTATTTACGCATCATTTTGAAATATCTACCTATGCTCTCTTTTTGGATTCTCTCTCTCACACACACTAATAAAAACGCTCTCATTTTCTCTCCTTGACAGGCGTTAATTTTAAAAATGTGCCCTCAACGTCGGAGAGGTAGAAAATTTTCCCACGGAAAAACCAACAACAAGGGGTTTTGCGCTCTCTCTCTTTTAATCTCTTCTTCTTCTTCATATATACCTACATTACTCATATACTATACTCATTCGTATTTAGATCTTCAGCCATTCAACAAATCGACAACGAGGTGGCGAGTAATTTTGTTTTAATTTTATAAATTGTAATATAAAAAGTGCTAAAATGCTAATCTAAAAATAAGAAACAAAAAAGAAACCGATTTAAAAGTAAGGAAATAAATTCATCGGCATATGTTTGTGCATTAAGAAGATTTCGCAAACTCTTGCATCAGCAAATTCGAAGAGAACAAAAATATAATATTATAATAAAAAATACGCTAAATACTCCGCGAGTTTACTAATGTTAGTTACAACACAACAACCGACGTGCAGAAATTAAAATTAAAGCAGTAGTTAAAAGATACTAATGAGTATTCTGTGGATAATAAGAAAAGATACAAACTTGGCATTGTGATATCTACAAGATATACATACGTACATACATACATAAAAGAATTATAAAATATTTTTGTGTCAAACACATTCAAGTACGGAAATAACCAGGCAGGCAGTTCAGTGTGTAAAGGAATCTGGAATACACAATGGAACGAAATACAGCTGTACCACTTGCCACGTCTAGCATGAGTTCTCCTGCAGCAGCTGCCATTAAAACAGAATATTCATCGTCTGCATCCCCGTCGTCGCCCTCAATTGCTGCGGATAGTAGGTCAAACAGACATTTCACCAGAACATCGGGCATCACTAATAACTGCTCTTTAAATGCAGCATATGCCACCCTTCTTAGCACACCAAAGAAACATTTGTTGGATACTGTAATGCTACAGACAATACGAAAGAAACTGGCAACACCGGGTGGTGTGTTTGAACTACAATCCTTGCGTCTGGACTGTACCGTCGACTCTGCCGTGAAAGTAATACAGGATAAATATATAATATGTGCGAGATCAAAACATGCGGGCGAGTCCAAGGGCCAGTCGTGCTACCGTCATTTGGTAGACATGAATATGTCGAATCTTGTATGTACGGATATTTATACGGGAGAACAGTATGCCGTGAAAATAATCAACGAGCCCTTTCACAAGGTGCAAGAAGCCTATTTCAAACTACAACTAGAAGGTGAAAAGCGCTGTAGCAGCATCTATGGCCATCAATTGATACGCGAAGTACATGATGTTGTTCCAATGGATAAACAACGAACATACATCATTTTAGCAGCCGCCAACAAGAATTCGGAATCCAGTAGTAGCCCAGTCTCAGAGGTGTATGAGGATTTGCACACATACCTCAGGGAAAACCACCGACTTTGCGAGACAGAAGCACGAACGCTATTTCACCAGATCTGCGAAACTGTTCTTATCTGTCACAGAAATGGAATTATACTACGTGACCTTAAACTCAAACGTTTCTTTTTCATAGACGAAGCAAGGTAAGTAAATATCACAGGCATTGAAAATGTATAATGATCTACCGATTCTAAGCAATCTCGTTCCGGATTAGGGATTGCTAGGATGCAGTAGTTCGATAAAAAAACATTTAATTTTATAATTCTGGCATTCGTCATTACACGGTGACGTATATTCTCCTTACACACATCAGTACATGCTTATCATTACGCACACATTCGCATACAAATGTGGATATGTATGTTAGCCTTCCAACATGAATGCTTAAACTCGTTATTGGCATTAACATGCAAATGAATAACGAGATAAAAACTCCAAACAACGAAATGCAAACGGCTAAAACGAATACAAAAGTATTTTCGGTATTGGTAACATTGAACGTTTTTGGAATGTTGAAATCAATAACATTGAAACACTCCTCGTCCAATTTATCTATGGCAGCGACTACAAATCATTTCGAAATGATTATGGTATCGAATATTCTTTTTCAGAAAGAAGAACAGTAAATATCAAACAACCGTTTTCTTCTCAGGTCATTATTGAATGCTGCTAAATGAGATATTTTGGTGTTTCATATCGTCGTTATAAAGAAGTATTGCCATATTGTAACCGAAATTTGCAACCGAATTTTTCGTAATAAGAAGTCTAGAAGTGCAAGTGATTTCGTTTGCTAAAATTTAATCAGATCTCTTAATTCTCAGTTCTTTGTGTATTTCTTATTGAATACACAAGTAGTAATTGAATCTAAAAAAATAGGACGTCACTTAAATTATAGATATAACCTGTATTATATGCCATACAAGTCATGAAATGGAAATTGTATTACCAAATACTTGAAACAGTTCGTCACGTTTGCCTTCAAAGCACACACACGCACATTTCTAAGGTCATTGAACATTTGACTTATAAACCAAATGTGTTCTCTCGCAGAAATAAAGTTTCATTTAGTTATTCCTATATTTATATTGCGGGTTGATCGGCTTTTGATCATGACATCCATTTTGTTATTGTTGTATTACAAAATCACATTAACAAATTGTCTTTTTCCTATTCATATTTTTTTTTCTTAAATCGATTCGAGGTCATTTGAGGTAATTGTGTTATTATTTCTGTATAGTAAATGTTTACCCCTACATAAATAGCTGGTGCGACTAGCGTTCTCTCTCTTCTTTCTGTTAAATATTTTCACCTTGTATCTGGCAATGTGTCTTAACGTTTCATGGAGTTGCCGTGCTCTTCTTCACCAACCAACCAGCCAACCTACCAACAAAAAGCAACACTTTGTGATAGTGTGCTTGGATTTGTGTGTGTTTGTGTATTGATATCAGGGTCAGTTCGAGGTTTTATGCATTGTTGTAATACTTGTTGAAATTTTAGGTTTTGGGTGTTGTTGCGATCACTGCTGACTGAATGTCGTGTATTACTACGATTGAGTTTATGAGCGATCGTGTTGGCAATGAATTTATTACAACATGCATATGTCTGGGCGTATCTGTTGTGTGTGGCAAGCAAGAGAACTAGAATATATACACACTCTTTTTAAATTTATATGTACGCGTATAAACAATCTTGAAAACTTTCAATACTGATAAAAATATATAATTATTTATATTTTCAGAACAAAATTGCAATATGAATCTCTGGAAGGCTCAATGATTCTTGACAATCCAGAAGACGACACACTAAGCGAAAAAATTGGCTGCCCACTATATACTGCACCCGAGTTGCTCTGTCCAGAACCAAAGTACAAAGGCAAGCCTGCCGATATGTGGGCATTGGGAGTTATATTGTACACCATGCTTGTTGGCCACTATCCATTCTTTGTAAAAGGAAACAGCAATCTTATTTCTATTATTCGACAATGTTTTGTGCAGCTTCCGGGCCATTTATCACGTTCTGCCAGGTGGCTACTATTGGCGCTACTGCGGAAAAACATAAACGATCGAGTGCCAATAGAACACATATTTCTGTCCCCCTGGTTAAAGGAGCAGAGGCCATTTCACATGTACATACCAGTTGACGTCGAAATTCCCGTTGAAGAATCACTAGGAGGAAATAATTCAATGGATTGTGAAGATTCAGACGAAGATGTTGGCGTGCAACCTTTGGATTATTCATGTAATGGTCTCAGCCTCAATTGCAGTTATTCGTATGCTGAAATGGGTTGACCTACATTTGAGTTTTTAGAGCAATAGTATTTTAATGGACACGCCATTAAAGTTTGATGTCAGCAATATTGAAACGACATCAACTACAAACTCTGGCCCGTTTGCACCCACTACTGGGCTTAAAGATCCTGCATATATCAACTTTTTCACTCATATACTTACATCAGATGACACAGCCATGTTGTCAACCCGCCTGTACATTTACATTGAGAGTGTGAGACTGAAATATGGTAGACCATTCATCGTGCTGAAAGTGCAATGTCAAGTTCTACATTCACAACCTGTAAATAAATATAAAATAGATTTTGTTATACACTTAATTATAAAAATGTTGCCTTGATTATATATGGAGATATATTTATTCGAAGTTCTTCCAATGTTTCTATTTGAAAAAGTAGTTTTAAGTTAAACTTTTTGTTTAATTCGTATAGAATCGAAAAATAGTTTTATTTTTGTTCCAAGATTGAGTAATAAAAAAATTTGATCTCATTATCTTTAAAATTTATTTTATTAATTGTGGTATATGGGTACTATATGTTATCACATTTAATTTTCTATATTCAAATTCAAAACGAACGAATTTGAGTACTTTTCAAAATGGTACAAAAAAATAAAAAAAACACACATTTTTTTAGAGTCGGATAATGATGGAGTTTAAATGTAAGCCTTAGTAAATATATTTTAAAAATTGTGATCCTCTTTATTGTAATATTTGTGGTAGGCCGGATTATTAAGTCGACAGCCAGCAAAAAACCTTTCATTTCGTAGAAAATAGAAAAACAGACTGAAATTTGCGAAGGTTCATTTCAACTGGAGTGTCAAAAAATTGTGGACTGTGCAAGACTTATGTTCTGGGTTTTTTCTCGGGCAAGGGATTGGATTAATTTAGACAATTTATAGAAATATGGATCGCTTAATGTAGGAAGCCGGAAAAAGTAGCCTGAGAAGCAATATCGCCAGAAATACTTAATTCTTGAATGTCCTCTATGCCTAAAGGATGTGCGAGTGTACTCCACAATAACAACAAAATATTGATTTTCTGTACTGTAAGGGGAATAGCGGGAACGATAATTCATTCCAAAAAAAATGTTTCAAAGGTAATTTTTGAGCGAAGTTAATAATCCTAGTTCACATGAGAGCCACACATGAACTCTTTCTAACATCGGATTCCGATGTTCCAGTGAGCAGTTATCATGCCCGTAATCAAAAATAAGGACATTTCATTAATCAACACAAACAACAACAACTATATTCAGTAAATTATTTTTCTTATCTTTTAAGTCTTCAAACCTTAACACGCATTGGTATTCATTTACCAGCTCATTGAAAATCTTGAAAATACAAAATCGCGAATGGGGGGCGTTCCCTTAAATGAGGGTACTTTAGTTTTGTACGTTTACATTTGGGACATAAAATATTTATTTGATTTTTTAATTATTTGTTCATTAATGTAAGTATTAATACCTTAATAAGTAAATAAATAAATAAAAAGAAATATAAAAAACAACATAACCCGTGTTTTCTTCAAAAAATATATATGCATAAATACGCTTTTTGTTTGGCTGATATCACGGATTGTGTCTTTTTTTTCAAAGAGACGTAAATCCAATTTGTTGCTTTAAAAATTTTTTAAAACAAAACATACCATTTTTTATATTGCAACAACGTGAAATTATTGTCACTGCCATGATGCGTCTTCACCTAAGGTTACCCGAACCAGTGTCATTTAGTGCTGTATTTGCAGTGACAGCTTTCAAGCTGACGTATGTGGTTAATACCAACATGTCGGTATAAAGAAACAGCTGTGTATCGTTGGCTAGACATTGGTGTAAATATTTATTAAAAAAATACTTAATTTTTAAACATTCCAGACGTTAACCGTATAGAAATTTATCTGTTCTATTAAATAACTAAACCGTATACATTTATGCACAAATATTAAAACTACAAGTCATTAAAATGTCTAATCTCAAAGAAGACATGATTAACAGACAGCTAGCAAAAGGTAGGTATCGTTCGTCAATGTATTTCGTATACACATCCATGCAGACTATATTGTAATGTTTCTAATATTCAAAAGGTATTTTTGATAAACGTGCCACGTAAATCTGTTAGTTCTTTTTCACATTCGTATGTCAACGGTGAAAAGATGCGGTTGACAAGGCTTGTATTGGCGCAGGAGGCGTTCTTTACAGCTAGGCCAAAGTTCAATATGTAGTGTCAATGAAATGCGTTAATGGAACTTCTCTTCTCCGAAAGTAAAAATGAGTGTAATGGCAGATTGACTACGGAATATTAGAAGCCACTGTGCCAATAACCCGAAACTCGTTTGGAAATGAATGAGACGCGAGATATGAGAAGTATGTGTCTTTGTTATACTGTTGGGTACTTATAATCGCCACCGACTCAGGTGATTTCGGTGGGCAGTTGCTATCTTCTGTTGGTCTGCTCAGTTAGCGTAATAGTCCGACTCTTATGTCGACGATTTGTTCACTGTTTTGCGAAAATTATTCACTCTCTCACTTTCTCACGGTTTCTCGCGTTGGGTTTGTTAATATATTTTGGTTGAGCACGAAGAGATGTTCGTTGCAAAACCCACTTTGTTTATAGATCTGTTCATTTGACTGTATTGGCCATCGTATTGGACTTTCGATTTTGAAATTTCATTCAGTTTTTAACCACGACTTCAGTCAGTTTAACTTCAACCGGTTCCGCGTTTGTTTTATAATCACGTAAAATTTTAAATGTGCAATTTACGACGTGATTCTCACTTTGTCGCCTGAATAACCTGCAATCATGAAAGTAACTGGGCACGACGTCTCAAAATATTCATGTAATTTAAAATTGATGAAATTACAGTCGCCTGGTGAAAAGAAATGCACGAGTACCACCTATGCCGTTCCAATAATTACTATGCACAAACCACAAAAGACACACGCCAAAAAGAGTCCTTGGCGCAATGTTTCTAAAGCTAACGCTTCATATCAGAACAATTCCGTTAATTCCAAAGTACGGCCGAACAAAACAATCGTTCGAGAACGTGGGGAAAAAAGTGACAATTTGTGTACATGTTCCGATTCTCGCCTGAAGGATGATTATCTATGTAAGTCAATTTGTTTGTTGATATCTCTAGAAAAAATATTGGAAGATATCTTATTAAAATGTTATTTAATATTGCAGTTGATTTCCATAGTGTCGACGATATGATTGACTATTCTTTACTCCTCACAGTGAAATGTTGTTTTTATTGTCGACGTACTGATAAGCACGCCACCTTCAATATTTATAATTACAAATACATTCTTAAATTTTCGTATGTGAATTTTTATTAGTTCGGCTAGTAGGTTTGAACACATTCGAAATACATTCTTGTCCACTGACACTACTACCGATTTTGATAAGTTCAATGAATTCGATCATTAATTACCTGATGGCCAATTTCCGTAAGAAATTATTCCGATGGTGTTTTTTAAGTCTCTTCTTTATTGACATTCTACTTTAAGTTTTCGTGTCCCAGTCTCGCAAATTTAAGTTTACTGTTTTTGTTATCGATGGGATAAGGGAAATTTTGAAATTCCAATAGATATAAGTGAATACGTATTTTAAATACGTGTGTGCTTTTCTTGTACTGTATTACGCAAAACTGTTGATATGAGCGTTTAGAAATGACCCATACATATAATATATACATTTTTACTGTAACACGAGATATATTTAGTAGTTGTTTAGTGAATTTGATTTTTTACTTTATCCAAACAATATTATTCTCAATATGTTTTAGCAATGCCTTGGTTTGGAATGGACATTGGAGGCACACTTACAAAATTAGTATATTTCGAACCTAAAGATATCACACCTAGCGAACAAGATGAGGAAGCAGAAAGTTTGCGCAGCATCCGACGATATCTGACGAAAAATTCAGCTTATGGCAAAACGGGCCATAGGGATGCTCATTTACAGGTGAGTGAGATGACTCCAATCAGACCAACATCACCGGAAGTAATATAAAACCTTGTAAACATTTCCAAATTATGGCTTACCTTATACTATACATTAGACAAACAGTTTCAGTGGCCACAAAATAAAAAGAGATTCATCCATATTGTTATTATAAAGACCTTTGTTCACATATAAAGCTCAACATTTACGTATGTAGATATTTGTCATTACTTCTAAATATTTCCATTTATTAGCATAACAAAATGCATTTTAATTAGGGCGGACAGAGAGCTCTATTGGGTATTAACATTGTGATAATATGAAAAGTGTGCGTAGTGCACAAATATGTACGATTTAAATACATATAAAGGATTATTCGGATCCGGAAATGGAATCCATATTACGATAATGGATTTGGTAATATTTACAAAAACTTAAAATCATGCTTTTATTTGCCTGTTTGCATTTTTATGACTGTATATTTCAATTTTCTTTATTTTTCGTTAAAGCATAAACAAATTTGGCCATTTGTACACATTTGTTTTTAATTCATAATTCCTTTTCTACTTTAAAATTATTTGCGGTAGGAATTAGTGGGTCTATCAAAGGGTTTCGGAGAAAATGCGTACAATTAAGAGATAATTGTAGATACATTCATATGGATACATTCAAAATGTTCAAAGCAAAATCAAATAGTATAAGAACTTTTGTTAGTTTCAACAATCAATGATTCGGTTTATAGTTTATTCATTATGCCTAACTGTTTTCAGATGGACAATGTGGAAATACGCAAAAGGAAAGGATCGCTTCATTTCATACGTTTTCAAACCACAGATATGGGTAACTTCTTGTCATTAGCCAAACAAAAAGGGATGGCAGAATTGGTGACAACAGTATGTGCAACAGGAGGTGGTGCTTTTAAGTTTGAAAATGATTTTCGCGAGGTAAGTAATAAAAATATTAGTGTTACTGGTACGATATAATGCATAGATTGACACTCCGGAATAAGTATTTGCATAATTAGACTACGAGGTTTGCAAAAAGATTTATTTTACACATTTCTTAGACTATTTGAAGAGAGAGCAACAAACTAGCTGATAATTCTTTTTATCAGTAATTATATTGTATTTCAAAATAAATAGTCATATGGTTAAAAGGTTGAACAGCAAGTTTTGTTATTATTTGGAGTTTTCTAGAGAACTAATTATAATAAATTCGATACTTTCCTTTATGTGAATCTGTCAGTATGAAGCGTGCTTATTTTGTGCGACCGACACTGAATATATATTTTGCTTTAAACTATTGTTGTGTCATGCGAACATATATTTTTTTACAGCAAGTGAACATGAAATTGGCGAAATTTGATGAACTCGATACTCTTATTAAAGGCATCCTTTTTGCTGAAATTCAAAACCGAACCGAATGCTATTACTATGAAAATGCCAGGGATATAATGTAAGTTATAAAAATAAGATTAACCTATTCAAATGTACCTAAGATATTATAATATCCGATCCATTTACAGGAAAAGTGAAAAGAAAGCCTTCGATTTTTCACAGCCATATCCATTCATTTTAGTCAATGTTGGGTCTGGCGTTTCTATACTTGCTGTATATGGCCCGGACAACTACAAGCGAGTTTCGGGTACAAGGTATGATTAATCATATTTATATCTACTGGATAATGAAATGTAACTCTTTTATTTTAGTTTGGGGGGTGGAACGTTTCTTGGCCTTTGTTGTCTATTAACTGGTTGCAACACATTCGAAGAGGCAATTCAACTTGCTACCAAAGGTGATAATCGTAAAGTAGACAAATTGGTTCGGGATATTTATGGTGGTGACTACGACCGTTTCGGATTAACTGGCGATCTTGTGGCTTCCAGGTATGTCAATTACACTATGCAACATTATTTGACGACTATATAAAGAACCCAGAAGGACATATTAATCACAAGTCAAGTTTTTGTGTTATGACGTGATGACGTATTTGCCGGTAACTCTACAGTTCATAAATAAAAGCTTCATATCTTTGTTTGCGGCTATTGCAGGTTATTTTTCAGATGACTTGTCTACAGTCAAATCGAATGAGGAATATGTCTGTAAAACATATTATCCTTCTATCTCGAGTGCTAATAAATTTCGGACACATTATGAAGAACTGCTAAACACTTTTATTACATTACATTTATTAATTTATTACATTGTAAACCAGATTTTCAGATAAAAGCCCTTTTTCCGGTTTTAATCATCACGTTAACTGTTCGTATATATTATGTTTTATGAACAAAGTAAACAGGGACTATAAAAACATTGATTTGGAATATTTAATTTACGGTTCAAGAATATAAGGACAAAAATGTACAAAGACTCGAGATGTTTAAAAAAATATTTGTCATTCGATTTGACTACTGTAGTCATTTTATCTGAAAAAATAATCTGCAACATCCGCAAACAAATAAAGTAAAGTATTTTCTTTTTGAACTTTAGAGATGCAACAAATCCATCAATTCATAACTCAAATACTTGACCTATGGCAAATTTGTCCTTCGTGGTTCTTAATGTGCTCATCAAGAGCTCGATTTTGTTGCACAGTGATATTCATTAATTTCCAACTGATTCGCTTTTTTATAGTTTCGGACAAATGCACCTGAAAGACAAGCGAACCTCAGTATCACGAGAAGATCTTGCAAACGCGACATTAGTTACAATTACCAACAACATAGGTTTGATTGCCCGTATGTGTGCGCTGAACGAAAAAATGGACAAGGTTAGTTAGTTAATTGTATGTTGCAGTTGACAAAATTACATTACATTCTTTCACCTATAGGTCGTGTTTGTTGGCAATTTCTTGCGTGTTAATCCCATAGCCATGAAATTGTTGGCCTATGCAATGGAATTTTGGTCAAATGGTACACTTAAGGGATTATTTTTGGAGCACGAAGGATACTTTGGTGCTTTAGGATGTTTACTTCAATTCAACGGCGAAATAGCTGCTGCTCTAAATGAGACGCCTGATAAATGCACAGCCCCTCCAAAGTCACCCACAGATCCACTGCAACCAGTAGACGACGCACCTAGCGGAACCGGTGACACCACCTCGCCAAAAGAGCAACAAAGATAGTTTTTAATTTGCTTTTGAACGGTGCCTTTATTTATTTTAAGCATTAAGCACATTACTTCCACCACATTTTCATATAGACTACGTGTAACCTATTATGTTTTGGTCTTTGCTTTTACCACTAGTAGATAGCATAAAAATATTGTAATCTATATAGCCTACACATTCTCCTTAGGGATACAGGGCTAATGGTAACGCCGATTTAAAAAGATTCGTAATATCAAAAGAATTTGTAAAATAATTATTTCTCATTTAGTTTTATTTGTTTTTGGTATTGAATAATTTGCTATTTTAAGTCGTATGCCGACGGTCGTCCTGTCGGAATCCAAAGGACTAGAAATATACAATGCACAACATTAAGATTTTTTGCTTCTTATTGTGATTTGTTCGTTTTTTATGCTTCTAGTTTTAGAATTATTGACTATTTATATTCATTGTATTTTGTTTTATGTTGACAAATATAATAAACTAACTTCAGATGATTGAATGGTAACAGAATACTTTATTATAAACAATTTATAATTAACGAAACACATTGATACGACTGTAGTCTCTACTTGTTGCGCAACTCACTTTGAAGTCCATTACATGCACACTGCGATCAGTGGCCACGAATAAATATCGGCTGTCACAGGCTATACTGTATACTGGAGATGATGAAAAATCTCGTCGACGTTTGTCTCTGGACTGTGGGAAATATAACTGCATGTGCTTCCCCGGTACACGTATGTCGTATAAATTGACCCGACTATGATGTTTGGTCCCACACAAAACTGCATATAAACCATCGTAGTCCAGACAATAAAAAGATGAATCGAAAGGATCCTCCCAAATATGTTCGTCTTTGTCCGAACGACGGTCATACATTCGAAAGGTTGTATCGAAGTTAGCGGTGAAAAGCACATTGTCATCTTTGATTTTGAGATCGTATATTGAAATTGTATTTGAATTTAATACAGTTTCAATCCCGCTAAAATAAGAATTTCATCGTTTTATATAAAAATGTATACAAAAAAATTATAAGCATTACAAAATGAGATTACCTGGATGAACAAAATACTTAGGAAATACATATTATTCACGCACTAAAGCAAAAATAAAAAAATGTTTGCCGAGACAATTCACCGAAGCAGGGCAAATATTCATGAATAGAAGTGTGAGATCTAATGTGGCTAATTTGATTTATAGTTCTATCTACATTTGAAACTTTCGAAAGAGCAGGTCATCAATTTGACAGCTGTCCAGCAATTTCTTTATTAACCAATAATATTTACCGATAAACTGGTTAGAGAAACGTTTTTGATGAATATCCAAGAATATATCATTAAAGGGCCTGAAAGTCTGTATATTTGGCTAAGCTATTTGCAGTAACTCCAAAATTATTTGGCCTGTAACTTTACGACGTATGTCCAACTAGTTAATCTCTCTATGACCGTAGATATCATAGAAAGTTACTGCTAGATAAGATATATTATGTTGAAATTTGTTTTTAGTGGAGTTGAAGAGAGTCTATACGAAAATGTTGAGAAATACGAGTCGGTGAGGTGCACAACTACATTGCATATGTCTAATCTCATGTAGGAAACCTAATACGGCACATATTTTACATCCAACCATCAACATTTGTCTACCCCTCTATTAAATAGGCAAACAGGATGAAAACAATGGCTTCCTTCATCCTATCCCAAATGCAAGGTTCGACCGGACTGGAAAACCTGATGGGGTTTTCTCTGTGTGGTGAATGCATCAATACTCATAAAATATCAATGTAGTAAAAATAAAGTAATCGTATTGAGAAATTGATCAACAGATACTCCCTCGGATATGAAGGTAAAAAAAAAGAATATAAGTTACAAGAATAAAGATTATAACAAATGATTAGAAAACAACAATAATCGAGTCTGACCAATTGTATCTACATTTGATGACAATGCATGGATCGGCTGTAAATATTTACTAACACAGGCGAACAAAAATCAATGCAGTGAAGACGACGCCAGGGTATGAATAATTTGCAATAAATGTCTTGCCTGGTTGCCAAATAAATGAACAAGCCATTTGAGGTTAATTCGCAAACAGAACACATTGGCCTATAAATATCCTGAACATGCTTATTCTAGATAGTTGTGCACAAGTAGTGACATAGTACTCCAGGATATTGAGATTCTGCCTATTTACAGCGAAAAAAAAATGCAAGCTTTTACTTTTGATGCCTAGCGGCTAAGAAATCTAGAAATCTACCATTTCACGCCAAGTGAATATGAGTATTAGCTCAGGATTCTGCAACTTGCATGAAATTGTAATATATTGCACGGTGCTCATAAAACACACGCAATATACTTCGCATTTCGAATAAGTACTATGGATAAACATATAAAAGTACTGGATTCAACATCCTTTAGTTTGTATAGTCACCAAGTAAATAAAAAATAGTATGGTGTAATTAAGTCAAATTTCATAAAAGAAATAAAATTATTGACAATCTTCTATTACTGTCCTGTACCAATACAACGCAAATTTAAATTAAATTTCAAAATGTTTTGCTCAATAAAGAAATAGGTATATGTAGATATATGGTAAAAATATAGAACTAAATCAAATTCTCTTCGACATACCTTTCAACATCGATTTCATGCAGAGCGCGGCGTTCTATGATGGAATCATATAGACCACCATATAGACGGGTTCCACTGTTATTGAATTGCAATGTTTTGTACGAGAGATTTGAATTTGACATTAAATCCAGATATAATAGACCCATTTCCTCCGTTCTACGCCATATTTTTGCACAGTGATCGGTACTTGTTGCATACATATTACATTCAAAGTCAACACATCTCATATATTCTTTGGGAGAATGAAGCTGTTGTTCCGTTAAATACCCGTCTTCATATATAAAACAAGTGCCAGATACTCTGCCAGCAAATATGGAATCACGCTTTTTGGTAAAATCTGCTATGTCACTATTGTTCACTGATGAAATTTCATTGTTATATTTTCTTTGAACTGCTTCGTTCTTCAAACGCTTGTGTTGACTTATATAGCTGGCGTACGACAAATACAACCAATCTCTATCGAGTATCAGTTTTGTTGGAAACATTTTAGAACGATGGAAGTATTGTTGTTCACGATAACAGCCATTTAACCAATTTTGAGCAATTGTCATCCGATGTCCAAACGAAAGGGAACATTGGGTGCTGAAATATTTACAACAAAATTAAAAAAATGCAATATCGTCCTTAAGATGAAATCATAAATATCTGCTTATTAGTGAGACTTCCAATATAATCTTTTCTTACCGTTTCATTATGCTTGGATTATTACGACGCCCGCACATAAGCAGATCCAGAGTTTTGAGGCTGAAAATATTATTTTCGATGATTTCCTTCAAAACCCAATGAACTTTACAAAGGTTTTGCAAGTCATTTTCACTGCAGAATGAAAATATCTTCATCAAACAGTCAGTGTTAATATCCAGAAATCGAATCATTTCTCTTATTGTGTGTGATTGATCTGTCTAACTTAGTTAGAAGTTCTGCAATGAAAACAAAATTAAGAAATTATTGGTCTTCATTGCATTCCAATTCATTGCATACCTCTAATTACTTTCTTATCTAAGTTGTTGGCCGCCTACCGATATCTTCCAATTATTTTAGCGGTCAATTTAAATACTTAGTCTCACCCGTTATAATACATAAATATCCAAACGTGCCACTGAATATGGATAACACATAACACGAATAACAATTGAAATAAGGATACATATGAAAATTCACAATTGACTGCAGTTATTGATTTCAGTTATTTGAACACGTATTTGGGGCTGTAGGCAAGGAACATACACCCACCGACAGAAGATGTGACTGCGAATTATCCAAGTAAAAATATACTTTTTCTCGTCTGGTTGAAAAACACCGACTCCAAAACATTGAACTAAGGGCTAATAATAAGCTCAGGCAGTAAGATCAGCTGTTTCTATGGTCTGCTGTCAAAATCATTATTGTGAATTTGAAGTCACATACCCGTAAACATTCAAGATGCTAAACATGGATTTCTCGCTTTATTCCAATTCTTAACATAAATGGAAATTATCACCTCAGAGGTGGCTTAATTAATAGGAACTATCGCTATAAATATAAGTCGTTTCCACCCGTAACGAATGGAATGGGTAATAAAAAATTGACCGATAAAAAGCACTGTTTGCGAATGAGGTGAAATGCACACAGTAAAAAAATCCATTGTTTAGAAGGAGACATGGGATACACGGCGTTAAGGGATCTAGATTATCGAATTGAATACGAATTGGAAAAATTTACGTCATGTACATACGAACTATGGTATACATAATTATTAAAATGTAGGGTGTAGCTACCAACTGATTCGCAAATTTAAATACATACATATTTCGTATATGTTTGTAAATTGTATAGAATACAATTTAAACGTTCATAATTGATTTTTTTTATTATTCGCCTCAAGTTGCCCTACATTGTATTATTGGGCCATGATACGAACATACTATTAAAGACATATGAGCAGGATTGGATGTAGAGTTGTATTATGAATTAAGTTTTTGGGATGAAATATCCTACTAAATTTGGTACCTTTGATACTGGGTAATTGAATTAAATTGGTATTGGGTTATTATTAATGTGTATGTTATTAAGCCAAATATGCCGTAGTACGCCTGTTATGTTACATATTCTGTGTTTACTATCTGTTACTTTTTTTTTTAGTTGAATTTGTTGAAACTCTGCACACACCGTTATTTTCTACAAAGCCTTAGATTACGCACAGTAGCTTAACAATAACAGGTGCACTGCGTTTTCTATCCTCGTCATATATGGGTTAAAAGGAGGGGATTGTGTGCTAAAGGGTATTACATATTTATAAAATAACGATGCGCATATTGCTTCCCATTAGAGATGGGCAATCTAGTTCACGGAACGGACAGACCTTTCCCGTTCCGTTTTTAAAAATGAACCAGTTCTTTTGCTCCATATATTTACCACTCCTAGATAGTTCCGTTGAATTTCTCTTTAATCGTTCATTTTCACATAGTTCCGTGTTGATTCGCCGATGAAAAAAAATATATATTTTTACTAGAATATTCTATTGCAGAATATTCAACTGCAGGATAAGCTCAAAATATTATTCATTATTTATCTAAAACAGAATGGCCGAAAAACTCTATTGTGAATAAGGGCATTAAAAAGCTGCCGACATTTTGGATTTCGTAATAGAGATTTGGATTTCGACCGAATTAAAAAACGTTCCATGGAACGCAGTTAATAGATACCAGTTGTGTCTGATTGCTTTTCCAGTAACATTTTCTTAGTGAGCTATATTTCAGAGAGTACGCTCTTTTCCCCCTTTTGCAACAATACTGAGAAAAGTAAACTGACACCATAAATTCTCAGCATAAAACTTTTAAACTAAGTCTATCATTCACTCTCTTTTACTGGACTTTGGAGTAAACACACAACATCCAGGACCAATTGTTACCAAGTATCGAGTAAACAGACACAACTAATGATTACTCGTCACGTTATCCACTGTGAAATGATAGCTTTGGACACATTTGGACTGAACTATCGATGTGTACAGTATTCAAATATGTACAAGTTATACAGTACACATGATATTGATAGCTCGTCCAACATACTCTTTACTAATGGATGCTGTCTGTTTACTTTTTTAGTAGTTTGGTAAATAAGTGAATTACTCTCTCAATTCAATTATTCATTTCTATTTTTGATAGAAATACTATAAAGCCCAAAAAACAGCATATAATTTATACAAATTTAACCCTTTGAGCCCCGAATTTTTTTTCTTCGCCACAGAATTGTTCTTGATAGGATATAAAAAAAAATTCACATTTTACATCCTTGCATTCGGGAGATACAGTACATTCATTCTGAAGAATAATAGTCAAATCCAAAATCGACGAAAACATCACTTTAAATTATTCTTTAGGTTATTATTTACAAGAACCAAAAATAATTTTGAGTGTACAGTTCTACAATTCGGATACGAAGCGATTGGAACAATTTAGACTGTATACACAAATTGATACTGTACACAATTTACACCTCAAATATGTTATATATTGAAGAGCGCCTAATTCGGCCAAAAGTATTTTTTTTAGATTTTCTGCTTTATTTGTCGTCTATTATTAGGTCCAAGTAAGTTTGGCCGAGTAAAAATGGTAACCTGGTAACTAATTTGAAATGTTAATTCATTTTACATATGTTTGTATTCTAAGATCATTTTTTAGATTTCTCGCTTTAATCAACATAATCAACGTTCAAACAATAAAGGCGTAAAAATTACAAATCCAAAATATTTCACCTCTGTAGCTAAAGGTTAAGGTGGTTTCTACAGGACTGTTCTGGGGTTGTAATGTTTCATATTGCCATAATTATAAAGTCATTTCGGGCCCTTGCATCCGCAACAAAAAGCCATCGGAACCTCTTTTTCAGCAGAACTGAAATTGAAATGCAGGCAATTTTTGCATCGAAATTTATTGTTTTATGGTGGCCGGGGTTTCTTAATTTTTCTGCTACCTGATGTTTGTTTATTGTGCCCATTTATGTATGTCACGAACCACTAATTACAAATAAGCGGACGACGGCATTTATTGCTTAATGTTTATTGCTCGTACTATTTATTTAGAATAACAATTAAAACATTCCGCCCATATTGTAATTTTTATTGCTTTGTTGCAGTACGCGCCTAAGTGTTGTGAAATTGGAAAATTCTGATTATAATTCTTGGAAATGTTCTCATCTTCATATTGGCAAATTTATAGATAGGATATAGGACACTTACGTTAAAAGTGTTCTGTATTTGGGCGCCACCATTCGAAACTTCAAAACCGATTTCCCAAAAAAAAAACTGGAAAACAAGGATTGACATAAAAACGACATTCCAATTTCAATTATTTATGTTACATTGATTATACTTTCCTTTATTTCTATCTATTCCTCCATAAATAAAATAGATGTATGTATCACATATCCCAATAGCGTTAAGATTTATTGTCAGGCCCTTTAAGAGGCGCCAATTACACATGATACTAATTGTATTTTTTTTTTTGCCAGCATCACCGTTTACAGCACACATATATATCATAGCTTTTGCGCACAAACAATGGCAACAAAAGCTTCCACACTAGAGATCCATTGTGATTGGCTCAAAGGCAGAACAGTGAGCACAGTTACTTGTACACACACTTGCAACACCAATGGCAATAAGCAACACAATAACACGACGCAACGTGAATGGAAACCCAAGAGATAACTACAAATGAAACAAAAGTTCAGCCATTGGTATTCAGCAAGAGCACAAGGCATTCCGCGGCTCGATGGCATCAACGATATCTAGCACATTGTCTGTCAATGCAATTGCTTGCTCCAATGGTCTCCAAAGTCCATAGAACTGAATATATATGTGTGTGGAATGGGCGGGCGTTATTCAATCCTGTCTCTATTGTAAAATATACTATGGAACATTTCCTTTCGCTTGCTATATTACTGGTGTATCCACGCCGTTTGACGGGTCAACTGGTGCAAATTTTCCACGCATCAGTACATGGGGAATATATGATCATTCGGTATGGGCAGACGTACATAACAGATAAAAAACATCAATCACATATGCAAAATATATGTATAGAATAAACTAAATTTTCAAATCAAAACATTTCAAAGTAGAATGGACCCTAAAAATTATGTAAAAATAAAAGTAAACAAAAGAGTACCCCCTCATTCTCGGTGTTAAAATGCATTTTAGTATTTTTTAACAACACTAACTAAAGAATGTCCGTTTAAAATTTCCAAAGAAAATCTCAGAAACTATTGATGATATAGCCGATTTATTGTGTCAGCATCAAACCATGGCAAGAGTGCTTCTCAAACCTTAAATGCATTATTCTTGCTTCTGTTTTTTACGAATGCTGGTCATGATAACTCAAAACCTAATAATTCCAAATTTTAACACGTTTTCCTGTATGTAGCTATCGTATGAATCGGTCAAAATCTTTCTTATTTTCTAACAGGGTTTGTGGTCAAAAATAGGGATTTTTGTGCGATGTATATAATCCCAATTCATACCAGAGCAAGACATGCATACTTTCGATTCGCGTTGGAATTTTTGGGAAAATAATAAATTATATCAAATCTGGAATTAACAAATATGCATGATTAAAACGAACTGAACAAATCAGCAGTATCAATGACTATCATTAAGGGGGGAGACCACGTAAAACTACTGAACAGAGGACTATTTAAGTTAATCATATCACATTTCATCGAGAGATTATCAAATATTATTGGATCAGATGAAGACTGATCTGCTCGTATATAGTTTGCCAAAGAGCATATTAATTGGGTTCGAGAAAAACTGAAACAATGTTCTATGGGTCAGACATCCTTTTTTGGTGATAATTAGAGCAGTGTGTTTATGAAATAAAAAAATTGCATATAAGGGTTTCGGGGACGCTGATTACAAGAAACAAGTAAAAATTCTATAGGTAGGAACGGACATATTTCGTAGAGCTATGGCCATTGATTACACTGTGCATCCTTAAAACTTTGAACCATTCGGGACTGAAAAACTTATGATGATAGAAGAAAGCCCTAGATGGGTTTTGAATTATTAGCTATGGTTTTTGTTTAAACTCGGTTTTAATTTGGTCCATTTGTTGCGGATTTTCAAATAAACTGCACTGCTTATGACGTGAAATTCTCGAAATATTAAAATAAATTTTGCTTTACGATTAAATTCAAAAAGAACTTCATTGTTTTTTAAAAACCAACCAATTGTATGCTCATAGAAAATGGTATGGTATTTAAAAAACATACCACTTTCAATGAACATACAATAGGTTCATTTTTGAAACATTGACTTTGTGAGAGTATAACTACGTGAAAAATTCCAAATTGGGTTTTAAGAGAGTTATTTGTTTTTCTTTTGACTATCTTCCTGTCATATGTTGTTGGTCGAACTAATAGCAAATTCTAAACCCAGTGCAAATAATTGAAAAAAAAAATTTCGAAAATATATGTTTTTGGCAGTTGTGCTATTTTGAGTATGATGTAGCTGTTTTTGGATTTAATCTCAAAGCAAAATTTATAGATATTATTAGGGGTAAAGAATTGCTGAAGAGTGAACATTAATATTTCGTGTAGTTCACGTGATAGTGCAGTGCGGTTTATTTCAAAACCCACCCCAAGTAACCAAATTAAACCGGGTTTAAACAGAAACCTTAGCTAATAACTCAAAATTCTACTAGGGTTTTACTACTCCATCATAAGCTTTCAGATTTTGGCGATCCCGATTGGTTTAAGATTTTCAAGTTAAAAACTGTGTCATAGTGTTACAAATGTGAAATAAGACTTTGAAAATTATATATTCAAAATAACAGGGAAATAAATCATTGGTGTATTTATTATGGCATGAAACTATGGCATACCTTAATTGAATTTGAAATATGGCCAATTTGGTTGTAAACTTGAAATTTTGAGGGCATTGTTATATAGGCGTTACCATAAAATGTGGACCAAAATTGGTAATTTTAACCCAAAATACCCAATACAAGTAAATTTAATATTTTTAATACAAATTTTCAACGACTATTTTTTACATATTTAGTCGTCGATTGGTGCTATAAGCATTCAAATATCCTTTGGCCCTGAAACACTATTTAATTTATGAGTTTTAAATATTAAATTGTTGATGATTTTTTTTAAATTACTGATAATTTCCGGATTCATTATAATCACCCGTTCCCTCTGTTTAATTACCACCATTTCATGCTAATACTTTGACACATGACAATGTCATAGAATATTTATAAAGATAATACTTATACATATTCACAAAAATATGAAAATTTGACTGTGATTCCATGTCATTTGTAAACCGTGACCCCAAAATGATACTGGTGTAAAGATCAGAGTCAGAAGATTTGAAATATGTAACGTTTTTCCCACCTGAAGTTGACATTTCGCCAAAAATTGCGTTTGTGACCCAAATAAATTTAAGGGACACCGATTTGTAAGTCGGTCAAGAGAGAAAAACTAAAACCAAATTCCACATACAATACAGTTTCGTTTGGAGGTGTCAATATTATGGTGAGGGATTTTTGTTCTTTTCAAAGAATAGACGGAAGAAGAGATTATGCCACTTATTTGAAGATTAGATACAAAATTGCAAAAAAAAAACACACACACACACACTTCAAGTGTCATTGCTGATTGGTTACATTCCAATTACTGCCTTTTTTAAGGGGCGAAAGTTTTAAAATTCTTGAAGATGAACTTCGCTACAGCATAAATCGCAAAATATTATAATATTTCTTATAAGATTTATATGAAATGAATTGTTCCATTAAAAATCTTATGATAGTGACATTAAATGATATGTTACGTGGAAGCTCTGTTGGCGTTAATGTACAATTGGGTAAAAATGTGTTGAAGTCAACAGGTATTTGGGGTCTTTTTGAATTATCAGCTGATTGATTATAAGAATGTAGCATTTTTGATTTATTTTTTTTTTAATTTATAGCTGATCAAGCATGGGAACTGATGCCACACCTAACATTGGGAAAATCAGCCTAAATATGCAAAATAAAGGACCGAATGTACCAAAAACGGACAATTTTTAAAATTAATAAATATTTGAAATAAAAACTCAAGGTGGGAATTAACGTAAAGGAACGATTCGATTTCGAAAGTCTTTATTGAAAAAGGCCGTAATATTTTTGCAGTATGTGAGGAAAGATCGATTAATAATGACATTTATTATATCAAATTGATAGTGATAAATTTAGTTAATATACGTGGTGTTTTAAATATTTTTTTTTTTACATATATATCATAGGTCATGTTTTAATTCGCTGACCATTACTGTATATAGACAGTTACATTATGTTTTTTTTTTTGTATTATTATGACACTATGAGCTTCTTATAGATGTTGCCGATTGTTAAACGTATTTTCAAGGAAACGAATTACTTTCAACTATCTGTGGGTACATTTGCGAATTAAATGATTCAATAGAAAATGTTCCATACACAAATTAAAACCGCTTTAGCTTTTGCGGACATTATTCAAATTAATGAATGCGAGCAGATTTCGAATGTGAATAATTTTCCCTAATCTATGCAGCAAACTTCTTGAATCTGTTCGCATTCTCAATATAAACCAATTTTAACAGAATAGGTTCTTTCATATTTCGGTTCATCGTTATTTGTTTGCGTCAAGCCAATTTGGGTAAATTCGCACATCTGATTATCGGTACTTGTCGAAATAAAAAAAAAAACTATATAGATTTAACGAAAACGGAAAGAATAGAAAATCCTGTCTTAATATATATAAACATAATTTGTATATGTGTAATAAACAGAATACGTATATGTATATAATGTGTGTGTATAATTATTATGTTGTTCGTCACAATAATAGTTAGCAACAATAATCAAATAGAAATGAAACAATAGGGAGAAAAGTTTAATTTTAGAAACGTTTTAATTCCTGGCTTCCCCATTCATTTGTGTGGAGTATGGGAAGCAAATCTGGCCATAATGAACACAACAATGGGACAAGAACTCAATGCCAGTTTACTCTTTCTTCGAACAACAGAACAACAAGCATAGCAGCATTCAGCGCATTCATGCTTTGTGTAGGAACACACCTCTCAATGATGATGACACAATGACACAACACCAACGAACAACACACACAATGAGCAACAAAGGACACAAGAGAAAAAAAGACACACTATCGCATCAATGGCAACAATAAGCGAGTCGCTACGCGGCACAGGTAAATGAGACCAGCAGTACTAGTGCCGTTTCGCTCGCACTCGCTTGTCAACGGTGGTAACAAATGTTGTGACGACGACTCGTTTAGGGGCTAGAGGCTCGCACACACTGACACACGGTGAATACACATGTCTGACCTGACTTAATTTGTAGGGCTATGGGTTGCGCCGACTGCCATCGATATGCGGAGAGCGATTCTCTCTCTCGCTCTTTCCCCCTCTCTCTATTCAGCCAAGTATTCAGCGACGCCTGAGAAAGAGAGGCACTTTGCAGCATAAAACGTACTCGGCATATTCGGTTCGAATCGTGTCGGTCGTTAGAATTTTTATGTTTATCAGTTGTTGAATAGCTCTTGATTTGAACAGAAGTCGTGAAGGGAAGTAGTGAAAGTGTTGTCTGAAAAAACACAATACAATAAACACAAAATAAATAAAAGAAGAAAGAAAAGCTAACAACAAAACAGAAGACAAAGTGAGCAAATATTAATTGATACAAAAAGTGAATATTGTCGAAATCGATCACTGAGAATAAGCAAGCGAGAATTCCATTGTTGAGTCAGTACAATATTTCGGTAAAGGGTTCCGAAGAACTTAAATGATGGCTGCTCTATCATCACACCCGAATTACGGATTTCATCTGGGAGGTCAGGGATTGGACATTCCTACCCCAGGGGACTATGCTCCACAGAGTACTATTAGCCCCACCGATATGGATCTGAAGCGAGTTATGCATCTGTCGCAAAGTAGCAGTTTGGCGGCTATTTCTGCTGCCATGAGTGGCTCCCCTGTTGGTGGCCACAGTGCAAGCAATGGCAACCCGATTATGGGAACAGCCAGCATGGGACATATGAATGGCCAGGGTAACAACCACCATGGCCTCAGTTTGGGTAACAACCTGAACCACATGCAGAATACAGTGAGTCAACACACTCTATCGCCCAATTCGTCGATTGGATCCGCGGGAAGCATCGGCAGTCAAGGTTCAATTGGTGGAAACCATGGACTACACAGTGGCAATAATAGTGTGGGCCACAGCCATGCCACTTCACCCGGGCAAGAAGGCCACATCAAGCGTCCTATGAACGCGTTCATGGTTTGGTCCAGGTTGCAGAGACGCCAGATTGCCAAAGACAACCCTAAAATGCACAATTCTGAAATATCAAAACGCTTGGGTGCCGAATGGAAGCTGCTTGCCGAGTCTGAAAAACGTCCATTTATCGATGAAGCAAAAAGGCTGCGCGCCCTACACATGAAGGAACATCCCGACTACAAATATCGCCCCCGTCGCAAGCCCAAAAACCCATTAACAGCTGGTCCCCAAGGCGCCCTGCAAATGCAGGTGAATGCACAACAGAAACTAGCATCTAATACAAATCCTGGTTCCGGTTCCTATAATCCATTCCATCAACTGCCCCCCTACTTTGCTACATCACACCACCTGGATCAGGCCTACCCAGTTCCCTACTTTGGCGGTTTCGATCCCCTGGCCCTCTCCAAGCTGCATCAATCCCAAGCAGCAGCCGCCGCAGCTGCTACAAATCAGTCGCACAATGTCCTCGAAGCCCAAAAAAATGCCCAACTGCCGCCCACAACCCTAAGTAGCTTTTATCCGGGCATCTACTCCGGCATTTCCGCACCTTCTCTGTATGCCGCCCATTCGGCCAATGCCGCTGCCGCCGGTCTCTACAATTCGTCGTCGACATCATCGCCCGGTTCCTCACCCGGCACATCAACGCCCAACGGTTTGGAGGGCCACATGGACAATGCGCTGCGAAGACCAGTTCCAGTCTTGTACTGAATCTGATGACCTGCCTCCGCGATGACATCCCACATCACCACTCGGCAGCCAAACTGAAAAATGACGAATCTCCATTGTAAATTATTTTTATGTTAGTATTAAGTATATGAATGTATGTACGTCGTCTATAGCATATGTATGTATAATGTTTAAGTATTATTAGTATTGTTTGTTGTTTTGTTTTTCTCTCTTTTTTTTAATTATATATTAACAAACAAAGTGTATTAACACATATTGAAATATCGCAATCCCAAACAAAAACACAAGAAATTGTACATAGCAAAAACAATTATTGAAACATACAATTTATAAAGTATTATTTAACTGAATAAAAAACAAAAACAAATAATTATTCAATTAAACAAATTTGAATTTTATATTTTCGGTCGGTCGGTCGGTGCTGTTGAGGAGCTAACTGCCAGTCAATGATACAAAATTAAAAAAAAAACTAAATTTATTGAAATTAACTTTAAAAATGGTTTAAAGGGTACGCAACCATACTTTTGTAGGGACCTTATTTTATTACGTGGGGACAGAGGAACTCTTTAAGTTTCGTTATATTAGAGAACGAACACCGATGGTAACGACAAGTCATGTGCTTTGTTTTAGGAACGAAAGTTGTCACATCACACGACTTTGTGTCTCATCGATTCAAGCGTCTGGCCTGGTTTAACTATGATTGGCTGGCTCTTAATAGGCTGGGGAAATGAGAAAAGTGTCGACCATTTGGTGGGGGAACTGTCAAGGCGAGCACAGTTAGTCGCTTTAGAACCATTGAAGTAGTGCATTATGACGCTATAATGACATTAATGCCAATTACTCCATCAATTACGAGAAACGAGCTTTGAAATATGCTTCGAATTAACCACCACAAAATACTTATGTTTGTGTGTGCGTATGTCGGATAATAAGGACCATAAAGGCAGAAAACGGAATTGCTACAAAAACACCCCCTTGTTGGACTTTGTGTGTTTAGCACTCAATTGCCAGCCATACGTTTCAGGCTGCTTGAGTTGGCAGCGACTTGTTTATGCCACAAAGCTCCGCATGGTGAACGGTTTCCAAAAGGACGATGCGACAGGACAGATTGTTAGTTTAGCAACATTGGTGGCGGAGGTGGGGCCGCCATTGGTGACATTAGTCTTGGTGGTTGTACCCTGCATAGGCCAGAATTAATTTATAGCACCACTTGAAGAATAAGTCAAATGCTGGTTTGGGTGTGTTTGTTTGTGGATGGATGAATGAATGTATTCCAGACATCGCAGAGGAAACACCACCATTCCGAAAGAACACTACTAATACAACTAACATTAGTGTTATTAAAACGAGAAGGTAATAAAATTTGGTTGAAAGTCAATTGGCAAAGGATGGGTATATAAAGCCAAATCATGATGTTGATATTTGATTATGCTATCCCGACGGTTCGAAAACTAGATTTCATCATAGCATTATCATCGATCATGATCTGATCAAAGTAATTAAAACAACGGGCACATACTATTTAGACTTTTTTGAAGGAGGGAAGACGCAAGCTGTTAGTGGTGCCGCAAAAGTTCAACTTCGATACAAACTACGAATTTACACTTCCGATAATGAAAATCAGCCATATCTAATATCGAACGTATGCGAAAATGCACTCAAATGGACTTTCAAGGGGAAGTCTCAATGTTCGCCGCCTACCACACAAAGTTATTGCCAGTTTGGATCTGGAGCGATGACGGGTTTGCACAATAAAATCTATGTAAGAATTATACAAATACGAATAAAAATTTGCTGTAAATCTGAAAACGTTATATTCTTTCCGTCGTTTGTCCGCCATGTATTCACTAGTGGACCCTTTCTTTGAAAAGGAAGTAGAATGCAAGTAGCATGTATGTCTATAATTGGATGTTGTACAAACACTGCTAGCTTGGAATTTATTGCAACCAATAATGACGGGACCTGCTCGTTCCGGTTCGTCTTTTTATGCGGACTTTTTTTTTTGTCAACAACACTTGCCACAACGAACTGCGTCTACAAGTGGCAGGAATTGCTTTGTTGGTTTGATTTTCCTTAAGCGAACCATCTAAATGGCGGAGTGAGAGCTTTGCATTGAAAGGCGACGTGATTAATTAAAAATTCATAAATGAGTGGAAAACTGGGTATGAATGAATTAAACCTGGCAGCATTCCATTCATTGTAAGGATTATTTATGAGTACGTGGTGGCTGCTTGCCAGCTGCTGAGGGAGGATGCCGTGTAAAAAATCTAATTAAATCAAATTAACATGAAATGATGACAAATTTATGCAAATCGCTAATTCATCATAACGCTTACAATGAGTGTCGTAAGTGTTTGTCATACTTCCAAGCAGCGGGTCTCTGTAGTTGCTATGCGTTTGGATGCACATTCTAGTTGGAAAAGCTTTTCAATGAATGTATCCACCATTTATGTTACTTGTATTGGCTGGGCTGCAGCCATTAAAAGTACCAACCCTCAGCACATTTGTCGTTCTCACCAATTCTGCTCAACGAAGCAGGGACGAAATATTGCGATTCTTTAACAATAATTTATATATTGTGGAGTTGGCCGACTGGATCCGGATGCTTTGTGTCGCAAAATACCCCCAGCCGAGTAAACAACGGAAACAAATTGCGTTCGCGAGTAGTTAGCCAAGTGTTTTGGTGTCTGGCATCGCCTTTACCAGCCACCGAAATCCTTAGGATTCACAAATGCAACTGTTGCTGGCGACCCACAATGACAATAGCTCAGCTCAGTGGTTGTAAGTGGGCGGGTCGGCATAAGCCAAAGAAAGCCACTTTCCAAATATCAATAAAGCGTAGCAGATAACAGATTTGTATGAAGTAACGACTATCGACAGTCGTCCCTGAACGTGGTGTACGCACGACAACGGAAGCAATAATAATTTCGAGAAACCGGTGTCCGTCTCCAGGCCTACGGTAGTCATAAATAAAATGTGGTTGGAATGTAGTACTGCGGCTGCTGATGCGCCTGTACCCCCATGCAGAAATCATTTATTCGTGTTATGATTTATTGTCGATTGCTAACCACGCCTTCTGACATTTATCATTTGGCCGAATCTTGGTCAGACGATATAGCTGAAGTTACCCCGTAAGCTCTGGTGGCCTTCTTCACACAAAGAGGTGGAGGGGACAGACAGCTATTACGTTTCCGAATCAAAGCGAATGTGCTTCGATTATGCCAAATACTACAATGATTTTCAATTATTTTGACTGTGATTGCTCTATTAGAAGATGAGAAACATTCATTAATGATATTCCTCGTCTATTGTTTTGATTTCTTTAGATCTGGTTGTCGGCTCGGATGTGCTTGGTGCTGCTTGGAGATCGGCGGTTGTGTGCCTGAGGCATAATCGAATATCATCGAGTGGCAATCTGACGAGAGAAAACTCATTTTCCCACCACAATGCCCGGTAAATTAGTAAATAATGGACCTCTTCATTTGGGGTTTTTATTTTCTTTGTGTGTTTTATTGTTATTGCGGGATCATCGTATGCTATGAAAGTTCGATTGTACACATGTTTGTGCTTTCGTGGTACAGACAAAGGCAAAGCAACAGCGCCAAACGAAAACATAGACCAACAATAATAATAACAACAATAGAAACAACTAAACAAACAAGTAATTAAACGATTTGCTTTGCAGCGATTGAATTGTGTTCGAATGCAGAGCTTTTCCATTACGCAACACAGCCTTGTTTCAGGTCAGACGCGAATGCATTTCTCCGGAAATAGAAGAAGAGGTGGCAGTCTTTTTTATTAATTGTGGCCAGCGAACTCTCCCAGCTTCATTCCAATCCGCAAACCCCGCACACATCAGCTCTGTATTATTAAGTCATGCATATAATACCGTATGTATGTATCATCGTCACATATTCCAACTACTTTTTATTGACTGTTTATTGTTTGCTGCACTAAGCTCTTAGCCCGGCAACAAAAGAATGACAAAAACATCTGTCCAAACAATTTGCTCTACAAATAACATACAAGATAGAAAACAAGCTAGCAATATACCTGTATTTCTGTTGCCCGCACACCCGCTCACCATCCTCCACTCACGACTATGACAATTGTCAGGATTATCTACATACGTACATATGAACATAACATCAATACGTATTTAACTCGTTCGTTGTATGGACTGTCAATTGTTTGTCTCACAATCATGGTCCCGGCCCATAGTCAATATTGGTCTATTAATTGCATTCTTTTGCTGAAAACTGCGCCTGTGTGACGACTGTTGTTGCTTGATAAATATTTTCCAAGTTCAAATGAAACGAATGTTCAGCTCCTCAGGGAAATCATTTTCATGTGGCAAACAAAACAGTGCAACACATCATTGTTACCATATATGATGTATATCGATAGACTATTTGGTCACCTCAATTGCTTTAATAAGCAAATTTTATTTATCATTTACTCTTTAAAGATGTGTTTGTTTCATCTTTATTGTTGTTGTGAACATCGAAATAGGGCCGATTGTTTGATATCGAGTGAAAGGCCTTTTTTAAAGTAAAACCGTAACAATCTGTACTATACGTAGGTATCATTCAATCTGTTGCAAATATAAACGTAATTAGTGCACAGCAATGTGTCACGACACTTGCCAACAATGACATAACTGGGAGAGATTGCCAATTGCTTCGGTGGGCATCAGGGGTTTGTTTTATTTGTTGTTGGTGGAACAACATTTGCCTAAGTGAATCATGATAGAGCACAAACATTTCAGAATCATACTCGAATATAGTTGCGCGAGGAAAGTAGCATGTCGCTCCAATGGTTCAATGCAACAACTTCCAGAAGTATAATGTATTATTGTTTTCTATTTCATACATCGGAGAGGGCTTGCTAAACTTATTGTAAGTGTGTTTAGTGTGAAATATAAATATATTCCTACGCTGCAAAACTTACATTAGGAATAAATTTAAGAGGACGTCTTTGAGTTTTTTCACAACACCAAATCTATCGAAGTATGCCGAATGTACGAATTGGGACATTTTTTTAATTTTTCGTGTTCGTTTATTACCTTTTAATTGCACATTTCTTACAAAACATGTTTTCCTAACAGGCAAGGCGAATTTTAGGTATTACTCTTCGCCATTTGAAAGTCGTTGTTCGCTCTCATGCCATGTCAGTGTCGTTAATTTTTCACAATATTTATTTTGAAGTTTCA